GGGGGGGGAATGAATGAAATGGGATTAATTTAGGGAGATTTCGTTATGAACATTTTCATATACGGTGTCAGTATCAGGCAGTAATTGCTCAAAAATGTCCAAAAGATTGCTGAATATATCCGACTAATTTGATATGTGGGTGATTCATTTGATAATTTCAGCCGCATTTGTGTTTCCACCTATATTTGTCTTTCTTTTTGCATGAAAAAAATCACCAGCCTCTATTTTTCAAAAGCTGTTTAAAGGGAGATACACACATGGTGGTATTGCAAAAAAAATGTATTGGTATTGTGTGAAATGACACAATTAAATATAATATTGTGCATATTTCAGGACTATATTGCTGCACACATACAGTTCATTTTAAAGAGAAAGTGGAAGGTGGTACTCACTTGAGGTCTTTAAAATCGGGGTAGACATACATGTGTCTGAATGAGTCTATAGCAATGACGGGACAGTCAGCAGGAGTTTTCTGGATGTGCAGCAGAGGATGCCGGAACTTCTCGCAGTCTGCGTGCAGGAAGTTTATAGACCCTGAAGAGGAGACACCAATGTCATGAACACCACTTCTGTAGACAAGGCCGTTCGGCTCATGAGCCGAAAACAACATGCCACGAACACACAGCCTCACCTTTCTCGCTGATGAGCTGGCGAGCCACTTCATGCTGGAACTTCTCTAAACTCTCTGTGTCTTCTCTAACGTGGAATAAGATGAGGAAAGGGATTCCTTCTTCAGTCAGCTCCTAGAAAACACAAACACACAAACACACACACACACACACACACACACACACACACACACAGTGTCAAAGACAGATGGAGTCAGGGCCTTTCCGTGGCTCAGCAGATGGACGACCCACACAGACTCCATAAATACCCTCCAGGCTGTTTTTTGTGTGTAAATAATCCTTATGTACATCTAGATATCCAGATTTACACATTTAACATCAGATGAAAAAGCAAAAGGTCAAGCAGACAATGCTCTATGTAAAAATAGACGGCCACTAACCTCTCCATTTTCAAAGGTGATCTCCCTGACCAGAGGCACACACTTGTCCTGGGCCCAAGCGTAGGTCAGGTCGAAATTGTTGAGTGAGCCGAGGTAGACCATGTCCGGGACGCTCTCCCCCACAGGCTTGTAGATTACGTTGTCTCCACTGAAGCGCTCGGCCTCAGATACGGCTCTATATGAGCACAGCAGATGAGAAGATTTAAAGATAAATAGAAACTGAAGTATTAAATCTAAGCCTAAAATGAAGATGGTCTCACCCAAAGGCAGCCAAGAATGTGCAGTCATCACGAAGGATGTTGGCAACTTTTTCAAAAGTGTGGTAGTTATCCGAGTCCCTTTGTTCAAAGTAAGCGATGACGTTTCTCTTGCTCCTCTGTTGAATAAGATATTATGAAAAAGAAATTATACCGTTTCCTTTTCCTGTGAATGTGGCAATTTGCGATGTTTATTAGACACAGTGTGTGTGTGTTTGTTTGCCACTCACATCCAGAGTATTAACCTCCTCCATTGAGTCCATCTCTTTCACCGGGTCGACCTGCTGCTGGCGGATGAAGTCGGCGATGGCCGCCACCGACCTCTGACCCCTGTACTCCCTCTTCATCATCATCCCATTGCGGAACAACTTCAGCGTTGGATACTTGGAGATGCGGTACCGTTGGGCTATGTCCGCTACACAGCGAGGCAGGGGAGAAGTTAAGCAAAGAAGGACAAATCAATTGATGGAGAGGAGGAAGCCGAGTTAAAAACACAGGGGGATGGGTGGACGAGGAGCCGAGCGGTGACAGAGGCGGCAGTTAAGCCTCAGTCTGAAAACACTGCCTTCAGTCAGCTCCGAGCTCTGATCTCCGACATGAAAGCTGCCCCCTGCCAAGAGTAAATACTCTCTATACACACACTGAATCAGAGCGCGTGTGTGTGTGTATGTGGCAGGTGTCAATCTCCCCGCGGGGTGTCTCTAAGCCTCCCGTCTTCACAGGAAGCAGCAGTTTTGTCATTAGTCTTCAAACAGTTTGCAGGTCATCAATAATTCTCTTTAATTTGCTTTATCTCAAAAGGCTGAGGCTGGCGGTTTATGTTTCAGTGCTTTGGTGTCCAGAGCATCTATGTGTACATACGTGCATCAAATATAGTAAGAGTGTGTGTGTGCATGTGTGCCTCTTTTCACCATGAACAACCTACAACCACCCCCTATATATTCACATTAATCATAATCATAATCATAGTTTGGGCAACAGATTAATCATCTAAGTAAGAAAACATAAAACCATTTTACAGTTTAAACTTAAAAATCACTTGTATTAGTTCACTTGTCTTTGTTTCACATTGTTATCAAGTGAATAAATGGTTTAGCTCTGGTAACTTGTGTTGGGCATTACTCATTATTTTCATGTTACACAAATTTAAAAAATGATCAATAAGTGTTATATGTTTAAATGTATCATAATTTCATCTGTATGTTATTTGGCAATTTTCTTGACAATGTTAAAGAACATTAGCAACGAATAAAAAGGTAAGTAACACTCACAATGTTGGTCACAGTCGACACGGGCAAACACCACCTGCTTGGTTTCAGGGAACTCCTCCCTTGCGATGTTAGAGGATTCCTCAAAAATTGGATGGAGCATCTGACTGAACCTGCACCTGTAAAGCGGGGCAGGGGAAGAGGTGTGAGGCCAAAATAATTTCCATAATTTGAAAGTAAGTTATATTGACTTTTTCAGATCCATTGGACTTAATGTTGACGTATTTGATAATTGATTTTTGCCTTTGACAATCCATCAATTAATTAGACCAAATGAGAATAAAAGAGACACACTATGTAAAAATCAACAAAACATGACAGTAATCTAATTATACCGTGTGGCGTTCATAGGAACAGTCAGCATCATGAGCAAAACACATTTGAACGTCTATGACATCCAATGAAAATGAGAGAGAGACGACACACTTACCAGTCTGCGTAAAAATTGACTAATGCCACCCCAGCATTATCTGCAAGGAAACACACAAACAGGAAATAAATACGAGCCTCTATACATTACTAAATACACTCTTACATGTATATTTTGTTTGTAAAACTTTGTGGTGATTAGGCTACTCAATCCTAAACCTAAAGATTGTCCTACAAACATTATATCTTTGGCAGAGGAAATAAAAATGGAAAAATTAATATCTCTTAAAAACAAGGGAGGGGGAAAATAGTTGAAAATTAGTATTAAATTAATAATTTGACATTTTGGGAAATACGCATAGTTTCCTTGCCAAGATCTAGATACAAGAGAAAGAAATACAAGATAATAAGCTGATTGGCCCCGTTTCCTGTCTTCATGACAAGCTGAAGCTTAGTTTACACTCGCCATAGTGAAGTTGCGCACGCCAGGAAATGACATAATCACGACAGACGCGTGGGGCGCGTTGGCTCCGCAAGTGGCCACGGCACTTGGTTGTGCACCTCAGAATGTTTGTAAGTTGGCACGCCCTATCACGCGACTGTCATAATTAGTTAACTGATACAAGTACTATTTATATGTCTAGGGATTATACAAAGAAGGCCAACTCGCTTTTAAATGCTGTCTGAGGAGGCTCAGGTTACTTCGCCAAGCACAAATACAAACAAGGCTTAAAGTGTGATTCCTTACTTAGGACGTCATCAATGTTGCCTGAATCCAGACTGGTGATTTCTGCTTGTCCGGGAGTAGAGAGGCCCATCACCTGCAGGCACAGGAAGAGATAGGTCAGCGTTTTAAATATAAAAACACATGCATGCTGGTTGAGACAACCTTACAACCTTTAGTCATTCCCAGAGGGAAAATTCACAACTAAAAAGACTTTTAAATTGAGATTACATTTTTAGAAATGCCTTTTTAACCCTTTAAGATCACTAGCTGTTCATACTGTGCACATATTTAAAAATGCATGCTAAAATGTTTACTAAAATGTATTTTTATATTCAAATTCAATCATCTTCTCATAAAACTAAATATGAAGTGCGCTTATGTAAGCTAGTACCAACCAATATAAACCAATAATATGAGATCCATCAATCAGTCTGCAACCTTTAGAGACAAGGGAGGTGTGTGTGGAGCCACAGTCCTCTGTAGCTCCATATCACGCTACATTACGAGCCCTTCACCTTTTTAGCACTTCAATCAAATGCGCAGGATTTGGCTAAAAACCCTCTCATAACTGTACACTGCTCAAATATTCTGTTTCACCGAAGAATAACTTACAGTACAGAAGCTAAAGATGCTCTAACTTCCATTTTTTATACTTTATATATCGCTAAAAAATTTGACAAAACATGGAACAGTGGAGCAGCGTCCATTTGTTAGTGTGTTGAGCCCACATATCTCCTAAGGAGGCCAAACTGCATCCGCTGTCATCTTTAAATGAATCAGCAGAGCTGATTATGAGCTCCACCTAGAATCATTCAACTCGTCACCCTAATGCCTAATTGAGGCTGCATGTACTGTCTGTTAATTCATATTCTTTCAGTCACTCTTTACTCTAATAACATGGCCATCAAACAAGGATACTGACACAACTATATACAAACATTACAACAATATTTTTCTAATCCTGCAGCCATCTTTTTTTCTTTCATGTACATCCCTCTCTGGATGAATTACTAAAAACAAGAACAAGGTGAAATTGTTATGCACCAACAGGGGATTTCTGAATTCCAGCTCTGATTGCAAAGCTGTAAACATAATTCTGTATGAAAGAGATCACCACCGAGGCATTTTAAGGGCTCAAATGACATTCACTGGAGGGTGAAAAGGGGAAAACAACACCAACGTTGTTGAGGTGCTGATTGCCAAATGAAAACACAGTGGTGCAAATGAAAAAAGGGATTTGTAGCCTGAGTAAACTCTTTTAATGAAAGGAACTATCAGCCACTGTAATAAACACTTAACATTGCACTGTCAGCGTTATGCAGTGTGCCTGTACTATCTCTTTATCTGCTGTGTTATCTTCTCTGACTCAACATCCTCATCAAACAGGATATATATGGCGATCGTCATCCTCCTCCAGGCTGTGACAAACACTAACAAGTTTCAAGACAAATTGTCAAACGGTCAAATAACCAGAGCGTGCAGTGCTAAATGCTTTGTTGGATAACCCTTGATATGTAACTGAACTTTTGATCACACATAGACCAATAGCGGGAGTGTAACAGTCACTGTCCTTCCCTTTGTTTAGTGTTGTTTAAGTGTTTCCTCATGTAAAATAAGGGCTTATATCGATTAAATGATAAATAATCTAGTGTTTGAAGTGTCAAATTAGTTAAACGTATGTGTGCATGCATGAAAAATGGCCGTAAAGGTGTCAGCAATTACTCAATTATCAATGATTATTATTATAATTATGTCGATTGACTGATCATTTAATAGACTTGTAATTTCAGCACAATAGAATATATTTCCTGATTTCCTTCTGCACAGTATAAACGTTTTTAAAACAATTATTGTGTCTTTTTACCATATAGGCTGACACAGCTGCGCACTGATAAGAAACGTCACCGTTGCAGTGGTTAGACACGATGAAGACACTTCTCTTCCAACTCGAAGAGAAGTTTTAAGTTTTCATTTCAGGCCCAAAATTCTCACCACAGCGGAACAGCCACACTAGGTCTAGTTCCGGGTTGTCAGCCAATGAGAATGAGCCACAACAGAGGAATTCTCCAACCGGCGAGCACCATTCAGAGAGACGTACAGTCTGACAGATACACGAAGAGTCCCACAATAAATGTGTGCAGCTGTACAATAACACATATAAAGCTTGATAAACCACCGTAAACCAACGCATTCAATAAACAAAACCCCTTAAACGAACCATTCAAGCAGTTTCTCTCTCTGCTGTCAATATGTGGTCACAGCTAATGCTAGCTCGATGCTTTATTTCTCCTCAAGAAAGTTATTAGGAGTCCAACACACGCCAATTTCTTAAGTTGAGATTGTACGGTCTGTTAAATATATAGATTACAAAACAGGGATATTGTTACCACAGTTAACGTTACTCAACACTACCGGCTAAGTTGACATTGCAGCTGGATAACTCGATTAGTTAAGGGAGTCGTCTGGCGAAACCCAGTCAAAAGGATAATGAACCTGATGAATAACAGCACTTCCAGCAGTGAGTGAGCTGCATCGCTGGTCACCTTTAGCCACTTTAAAAGTCACGTCACATGCCAGAAGAAGGCTCATCTGTTAGCTAGCCTGCTAACTGTGCAGCACCCGGCTAACCTGGCTAGCTTCACGTTAGCTTGCTCTTGTAGACGTAGTATTCAATGAATATTCCGAGGCTAAGATACACATGCTTACCAGCAGCACACCCGTGAAGAAGCGGATATCGAGAGAGGGAGATATTGCTAGCAGTTTCATTGTACAGGTTAGTTATTGGAGGTGGTGGTGAATCTTCCCAGTTTGTCTCGACGCCGCTCTAGACTTCAGGCGGAAACCGACGTCGAACAATCTCACGGTGACCACGGAAACGCGAGTACACTTCCGGGCACCGCATGGCTTTGTGGGTAATGGCGTATTTTGACATCGCCAAACAGCGGTCCTGGGTGAAGGGCCAAACTCCAACCATGGTGGTGTATTACTTTACAACACTTAACGGGAGTTGTAGTGTTTTGTCACCTCAGACGTTGGCTATTCAACGGGAGTACTTGGAAGAAAGCTTTCCTAAGATTTTAATCTGAGAGGAAAAGGAAATCAAACGGTAAATATGACACGTTATTAGAATACAATAGCATGAACGTTGTCCTCAGTTCATCCACTGTCACACATCTGGTCTCTGTTTCTTTAGCTCGCTTATGAATAACGGATTTCTCTTGAGCAGGGGGGAGTTGCATCACTATGCTTCACTTTTTGCAGTACTCTGTTCGACCTATTTTCCACCATCTAGCAACGTGTTTGAAGTTATTGACCAAAAACTTTGTGGCACAACACTTAGTTAAAAATGAACTTTAGATACTTCGATGCTCATCTCTGCAACATCTCTGCAAATAGTTTCCCCTCAATCCAGAAACCTTACGCGTGTAGCTGCTGCTTTATCAAACACAGACTCCACAACACGTGACTGAAACTAAATACTATCGCACCTCAGATGAGAAGACTGGTTAACACACTAATAATATGTCGCTCTCAGGCATCATCTCTCCGCCTGTAATCAGTACAGTAGAGGTGATACGCTGGCTCCTATTTGTGGGAACAGGTGGGCTGGTCTCAGTGTGTGAGTGATCCTCTTCTCTTCCCCTGCAGGAGCCAGGATCAGGGCAGGTAGGGGACCTGGACGTGCATCCACTCACACAAAGGATGATCTGAGCTGAGAAACATCTGCTGAAGTGTCCCCCTCAACGCAGCTATGGTGAGAATCCAACACACATAGAGCAGCGACCCATATTTAATTCAGGTTTATACATCCCACAAGAGTTTTATATTCTGTAATTACTGGGTGCACATGTTTGTTACTTTAGTCTCTCTCTCCTGTACTACCGGTTTGTAAATCTCTCTCTAGAGTAAAACCATTGAGACTATGTGGAACAAACCTAATTATGTGTGCTGGAACAGCCTAATTGTTAAGGAGATTAAGGTGGAATGTTGAATTGAATCCCAGCATTAATATTTGATGGGCTAAAGCTGTCCATAGGGGGTTCACAGTGTGTGAGCAACTCGCAGATGGAGTCAGAGGAAGATGTCTCTCTCTTCCTGTGAATATCAGGGGTGGAGAGAAAGCAGAAGAGAGCAGAATGTCTTTCTTAAATGGTTATGCTGGCAAGAAAACAAGCCTCTTAATATCCCCCCCAAAAAAATCATCTTTCAGTATTGTTACATATATCCCAATATCTGCTGGGGTATGAAAAAAACACTTGTTGAGTTGTTTATACTGTGTTTGTTGCGTTAAACTATTTGGTAAAGTGAATTAAGACTGAATCAATATATATATTGCCCAGCCCTTCACTATATGTTACTACTAGGCTTTAAGTCTGCTGATTATTTTATTAGCAGAAAAGAAAAATTGGTGTAAAGTTAGTAATTCAGTCAAAGTTGAAATCATTTATTATTCCATCTAAAAGTTACAGAGTCTGAAGATGATTTATGGTTGTGCTCTTTCCTAGAAGTTTCTAACCGTTCAGACTTTAGGTTCAAACCAGGTTGACAGAAATAGAAGTATTCACACAATTATTAATGTTTCTGGAAAGGCAACACTGTATTTCTTTACGGCATGTTACATTAAGTGATGTCCTGATAATATACTGGACTATGCACTAAGGGATTGTTTAGGAAATACCAACTTTAAAAAATAATGACAGATGCCTTTTACAATTTACCAGAGCCTAATAGGAGGTCATCAGATTGATTGCACCTAACAGTCAAAAAACACAAAGGTTTTCAATTCACAGAGATATGAAACAAAGAAAAAAAAGCAAATCTTTACATTTGAGAATCCTTAACCAACAACTGGCCATTGTCTAATAATTCATTTATGAATAAAAAAAATTTTTTCTTTGTAGATTGACAAATTTAGGCAAAGCGTAAAAATGTCTTCATATAGTGCTGCTGTAAAATCAGGCCTGTTGTTACACCTGACAAGAACATTTGAAACGTTGACTTTACCAGTCTGTGTTTTGTCTTGCACTCAGCTGCAAAGCAAATACAGCTACATATGAGTAGTTATTTTGGTTTCTAACCCTACATTTTGTGAGGTGGCCTTGTCTAAAGACAGTCCGATCACACTAAATGCTGCACACACCCAAACCGCTCTCCCTGCACTTTGATTGCATCTGTCCATCCTCTCCCTATTTCGCCATCTCTTGCCTTTTCTGTTTTCTCCATCTTTTTCCATTTCGCATTGCTTTCATTGATTTTTCTGTTTGTTTTTCCAGCTGATTATGTCCCTGTACTCTGATTCGCCGGTGGGCAAATTGCTCTCTGCGCTTTAATTGGACATTTAATTAGATCACAGTTTTAGTCCAATGAGACTCGGAGGTGTTGGAAAAGGGATATGGAGGGGAGAAGTGGAAATAGTCCCCAAGCTGGTCTCTGTCTCCCTTCCCCCTTCTCGTTCCCTCCCCTCCTCATCTCACTCATTTTCTTCCTCTGTCTTTTTCTGTCCGCCTTGCCGTCTCTCGCCCCCCCTCCCTCCTGAGGGCGGCTCATTAGTGATATAATGGGATGACGCAAAACACACAGCTCCCCTAACTCTGGGAGTGTCTCAAAGCAGTGCCTGGACCACACACACAAGGTGACAGAGACTGTATCAGCTCACTATAGCAGAAGTTGTGTGCTTTTTTTCCCGGGTGTTTCTTTTAGAAATCTTGCTCTCCTCCTCCCGTTTGGTATTGAAGCCATTGAAGGGGTAAGCAAAGGTGTTTTGAGACAGAGCCTGGGCGTTATTAGTGTCTCTGATTAAACTCCAGCACCGCCTGCCAGTCACAGCAGCATCGACCAGCCCATACACACACACACACACACACACACACATACACACACACACACACATCACAAACATTAACGTCATGCTGGGCAGAACCTTATCGACTCACTGGAGTGCTCCGGTATGATATCACTACACCTAATGAGACTAAGATAAGCCTCATTACCAGCAGCGCTCATCTGCATGCCGGTCGAAGGCAGCGCTATTCTGCATCAGTTTTAGCTCCCTTATGGTTCCGCCCTCTTCCCCCTTTTGTTGTCATAGTTCTCACACAGAGCACTGACTCCGAGCATAAACAACACGGTGCCCCAGTGGCCCAAAACACATGGGCAAATGTAAACACACACCCAGCTGTATGTGGATGTGCACACACTTGCGCTCAGAGGAAGGTCCTCAGAGGACACAAGTCAATCTCTGTGTCCCTCGAGCAGTCGCACACATCACCTTCCTCTCTGACTCCCTCCTACCCTCCACCTGCAGGAGAAAGATAGAGGACCAACTTCTACTGTGTCCCGTACTCCACACACTCACACATCCTATGCCTCATATTTGCACCAGTAATTTGTGTGTTCCCTCCCTATATGTGTGCATGTATAGATGTGTGTGTGTGTGTGTGTGTGTGTGTGTGTGTGTGTGTGTGTGTGT